TTTGTCTCTCTGACCAGTGCCTCGAGCCCATCCTGGGGAGAGTGAATTCTGTCTCCCTGGCCAGTTCCCACGGCTCCCTGACCCCCACCCCCCTCAGACCAACCTCGGCTCCTGTCTCGTCTGTCTCCCTATGTCACCATCTTTTCCTGTCTCTGTGTCTGATCATCTGTCTCCGCCTCAGACATCATCTTTTTTGGCGAGAGCCTCCCAGCCCGGTTCTTCTCCTGCATGCAGTCAGTAAGTGCCCCCACCGCTTCTGCCCGGGAGGGCCGCTTGGAGCCTGCCCTGGGAAGGAGGGTGGCCTGGGGGACGGGGAAGGCAGCCCAGCCTGGGCAGAGCCCTGAGACCACACTGCCACCCCCGCAGGACTTCCTGAAGGCGGACCTCCTCATCATCATGGGCACCTCCCTGCAGGTGCAGCCCTTTGCGTCCCTCATCAGCAAGTAGGTGGGGCCAGAGCTGTGGGGCGGGGCTGGGGAAGCCCAGACCGTCCTGACCACTCTGCTTGGCATCCCCCCAGGGCACCCCTCTCCACCCCACGCCTGCTCATCAACAAGGAGAAGACGGGCCAGGTGAGGGAGCCCTGACAGCTTCCATCCTCCGTGCCTCCTCCTCACAGGGGTCCCCCTTCCCTCCCACTGGTTTCCTCAGGAACTGAGCGACAGGCCTCAGAGACAGTCCCAATGCGGGAACCCCAGCTCTTTGGACTCCTCAGCTCAGGTCCTGGGATTCTAGAATCCAGAGGGGTTGGGTTCCAGGCTACCCGACTCAACAGACCGCCCGGTCATTCAGGACCCTCCTGAGCAAGTGACAAGAAGCTTGCTGGGACTGAGGCGCAGCTGTCCCCAGGGCCCCAGCAGACATCCCAAGGGCCCCAGGGGACATCCCCAGAGACCTCACAGTGCGGTCAGGGTCTGCCCTCCACCGCGCTCAGCTCTTTCTTTGTCCTGGATGGCAGACTCTCAGGCGGGTTCTCCCTCCTGGGAAACCCCTGCTAGGGAGAATGCCCTCCCAGGAAGGGTGTTCTCCAAAAAGGAAGCGGGCATGGATGCCAGGCAGACAGAAGGTACCATGGGTCAGACTCTGTCCCAAGCATTTACATGTGTGGACTTCTGAACTACAACCCTACCAGGGCTCCAAGGTTCTCCTCATTCTACAGAGAGGGAAACCGAGCCACAGAGAGGCTGAGTTCCTTGTCCAAAGACACAAAACTGGGCTACAGACCCAGGCCACCTGGCTCCAGGATCTGTGATCTTAGCCCTCCCCTTCCTCGCACCCCTCCCCCCCTCACAGACGGACCCTTTCCTGGGAATGATGATGGGCCTTGGAGGAGGCATGGACTTTGACTCCAAGAAGGCCTACCGGTGAGACCTGGGCCTGGGGTAGGGGAGAGCCTGGAAGGCACAGGGCCGAGATGGGAGGGAGGGCATTAAGGTCCACCACAGAGAAGAGCTGGCAGGGCCCCCAGCAAGCCTGGGAGCTCTGACTCTCTGGCCACACCGCAGGGACGTGGCCTGGCTGGGTGACTGTGACCAGGGCTGCCTGACCCTTGCTGACCTCCTCGGATGGAAGGTAAGGAGCTGGATGACCCCAGCCCACCCTGAGTCCAGTCCCTGCACCCTACTCCTGCCCCATGGGTCCTTTGACTCCATGATGTATGACCTCTGACCTCTGTGAACTTTGCCCCCACAGAAGGAGCTGGAGGACCTTGTCCGGAGGGAGCATGCCAGCATAGATGCCCAGTCGGGGTCGGGGGCCCCCAACCCCACCACTGCAACCTCCCCCAGGAAGTCTCCCCCACCTGCCAAGGAGGGGGGTATGACCACAGAGGGGGAGAAACACCAGTGACCGCCATGTCTCCCAGTCAGGATGCTCAGCGCCTCAGGGGTAGCCAAGCCCCAGCAAGCCTGAGCCCCTCTAGCCTGCAGCTCTTGTCCGGGGAGCTCAGAGCATCCCCCAGTCTCTTAACTACTCCTCCCCCAGGCTGGGGTCCCAGCCGCTCCCCACCCAACCCTAGCAGATTCCTAACATCTCCCAGTGACCGAATCTCGGGCAGCCCGTCTCTAACGGCCCACAGTCTCTAACTACTCCCAGGGGTACGAGCAAGCTCCCTAATCTCTAACTGCCCCCTGGAGGCTGGGGGTACCCCCAAAACTGCTAATTCTCCTGGGACAGGGAGTTGAGGGCCCTCTCTCTACTGCTCCCAGGGCCCTGTGGCCAAGTAGACCCAGTCTAACCTCCCCCAATGGGGGCGTGGGCCTTCGAAATCTAATTCACTCAGCGTAGGGGAATCGGAACTTCAGCTTCAATGTGGGTGCTGGGCCCCCTTCCCATGAGACCCATTTCCCATTTGGGATGGGCAGAAGACATTGCTTATTGGAGACCGATTAAAAACTAAAACTAACAATCGGCGGTCTGGCCTCCTGTTCCTTTCTGTGGGTTCCTAGGGAAGCAGCTGAAGGGTGGGGGGTGAGATCTTGGGCCACTAAGGAACCAGAACATCGCCAGAGCGAGGGGTGCCGGGAGGGGACCCAGTGCGTGTGTTGGGCCTCGTGGCCGGTTCCCTGGGCTCCCAGCCTGCCAGAGTCCCTTCCTCCAAAGCCCATCACTTAAGGCCTGAGCCTGCAGAAAGTGGGAGGAAGGTTGTCTTAGATACCCCCAGCCCCGCCTCTTCCCCCAGCCTGTTCAGCTTCCTCTCTGCGAGGAACACTTTCACTTCCTGCTATGCAGGCCTCCCTTCGGAGAACAGGTAGGGCCCCTCCCTGGGGACCAAGCATCTGGGCTCTTCACCCCCCTCTGCCTCCCTTTGGTGTCAGGCAGCTGCCCTCATCCGGCTCTCCCCAGCACCCCCACATCCTTCTCCCCCTCCTCCAGGACCCAGGAGGCACCTGCCTCCCTCTTCCCACCCTCTCCCTGCTGTCTCCGGCATGGGCCCTCCTTCCTGACACCCTGGGCTTCTGGTCGGTGGGCTCATTTACTTGTTGAGCTGCTTAATCCATATGCTATACCTACCCCCCAAACAAGAAGGCCCTGACGGCAGTGGCCTGTCCTGTTTCTCACCCTCTCTCCTGGCACCAGCGCCTCATGCTGGGCCTGTATTCCATAAATATTGGCTAGAAGGAAGGATGAGTGGATGGGTGGGCGGATGGGTGGGTGGATGGATGGATCCTTCCCTTCCAGGACTGGGTTTTCTACTCCTGGGACTGCTGCAGGAAAAAACATTCCAAGGCACCCACTCCAAGGGATACCCTCCCTAGGACTCTACCTGGGTAGGACTGGGGTCTGATGGGTGGAGAGAGGGCTAGCAGGCTAGCCGTGTGACAAAGCAAAGAGAGAGCAGTGTTAATACCGAATCTAGGTCGTGGGCACCCGGGTGTTCCCTGTGCGTTTCTTTCAGCGTTTCTGTATGTTTAAAAACTTTCAAAAGAAAATGTTCGGGAAAAAATTCAAGGTCCCTCCTTAGTGTGGGAAGGGAGGAAGAGGGGAAGTTGTATGAGGGAGGATCCCAAAAACCCGGAATTTATTTATTAAGAAATTGTGTATTTATTCTTACATGTTTAAACTTGTCACCTTCAAAGTACTCTCCGTTTGATGCACACCTATTGAGACACTTTTTCCTCCGCTCAAAATAGTTTTTGAACTCATTCATTTTTATGCCTTTTAGTGCTTTTGCCATTTTTTTGTCTCACCCCTTCCACACTGGCAAAATGTTTTCCTTTGAGGACTTTTTTCATCCAGAGAAACAACAAAAAGTCACTTGGGGTGAAATCAGGTGAATAGGGAGGGTGGGGTACAGAGGTCATGCCATTTTTTGGTCAAAAACTGCTGAACACTCAGCATGGTATGAGCAGGTGCACTCATAAATCACCCATCATGAAATGGGCAAACACATTGAAAGAATCCCCCCAAAAAATTCACTGAGGCTGAATGCAGCCTCTCACAACAATGCTGGTCGGTACCCTGATGCCGCTGGGTTCCTAGAACACTTACCTGGTGTACCATAATGGGCCTGCCCTCCAAAACATAATTCCGGTTTTTTGGGGGGGGGTCTTCTTTTCTGCTACCTTTGGCAAATGTATGGAGTGCCTATTGTGGGCCAAGAGCTTTTCCAGGCACTGGGTTTTGACAAGGGCTATTATTTAGCTAATTCACATTCATACAGCTGTACTGATGGTTAAAATCTAGAAATTCCCCACCACTTGGGAAGTAGCTGTTGTTTTGAGTTCTCTCCCCACAATTCCAAGACATAATGGCCTCTCTCCTGGGATCCCAAAATCTCCCCGTCATCCAGAACTAACCACTGGCACAGAGAGGGGCTTCTGGGGTCCATTCTGCTTGGCCAGGGTCTCTGCAGTATTGGTTGTAAATATTTTGAATCTTACCCCTGGGCCGGAGCAGTCCTGAGTCTTATCTTCCTCCTTGCCAGAGGCCAGATCATGACTCCCTGGCTTCCCATGTCCTAAGGATGGCCCAGCTGGAGGACAAGGCCTCTGCAGCCCCCACTGAGGGGGAGAGGTGAGGGCTACTGGGGCTGAGGTCTCTTCCTCCTGTCCCTGGATCAATCCAGAAATGTCTTCCATCCATTGCCTCCCCGCCCCGCAGGACCCTGAGCCCCATCTCTGACCCTTTGTCCCTGGGCTGCCCCTTCCTGCACCTTTGACCCTGCCTCAGTGTCCAACCGTCTATCTCTGACCCCTGACCTCCTTACCCCTGCCCCACCCAGGCTGGTCCCATCACAAGCAAATGGAGCAGGCGGAATCCCTCTAGGGATCCTCAGTACCTCAGAGCCACTTCTGTGCCTGCTGAGGACACAGGGCGTGTGGCAGGTCCCAGAGCTGGACGCCCAGGGTGCAGAGGCCCTGGTGGAGCTGTGGCCACTGGGGGTGAGTACTCACAACCGGGGACCCGTTCTTACCCTCACACAACACCCCATACCAACCAGGCCCCTGCTGGTTACTGAGCAAACCAAAGAGGCTACTGTGTGGTTCAAATGATGGAAAAACCCAGAAAGAAAAACAGTTTCCGGAAGGCCTGATGGATTTCTCTTCATTCCATTTCTTGGCTTTGCTTTCCACTGCGGAGAATTTGGGTTTTTGGAGCTGCAAGTAACAAGCAACCATTCTATAGTGATGTAAACAAATCGGTATGTCTTTCTAATATGACCAGAAAGCCAGTGGCTGGGTCTAGCTCAGCAGCTCAGTGACATCAAGGACAACTTCTCTACAGTTCTCTTGGATGTCCCTCATGGCTGCCCCCGGGCTGCTGAGATCGAAGCACATGGGTGTATTCCAGGCAGGAAAAGAGGAGACACTAGTTGTATCTGTTTATTTTACCAGGGTGGGGCCCTCACAATTGATTCAGAATACATGGAGGGGGGTGCAGGCACACACCACCATGCCCAGCTAATTTTTTTTTTTTGGAGTCAGAATCTCACTCTGTCACTCAGGCTGAAGTGTCACGGCCACTGCAGCCTCAGCCTGCTGGGCTCAGGTGATCCTTCTGCCTCAGCCTTTCCAGTAGCTGGAACTACAGGCACAAACCACCATGCCTGCTAATTCATTTTATTTTATTTTTAATTTTTATTTTTTTTGAGTTGGAGTCTCACTCTGTCGCCCAGACTGGAGTGCAGTGACCGCTCCCGGCCACCGCAGCCTCGACCTACTGGGCTCCGGCGATCCTTCCGCCTCAGCCTTCCAAGTCGCTGGAACTATAGGCACGCGCTACCACGCCCGGCTAATTTTTTTTTTTTTTTATTGTAGAGATGAGGTCTTGCCAAGTTGCCCAGGCGGGTCTCAAACCCGCAGGCTCAGGTAATCCACTCACCTCAGCCTCCCAAAGGCACGGGATTACAGGCTGAGCCACCGAGCCTGGCTAATTTTTTAAATTTATTGTAGAGATGAGGTCCCGCCAACTTGCCCAGGCTGATCTCAAACCCGTGGGCTCAGGCAATCCTCTCACCTCGGCCTCCTAAACTCCTGGGATTATAGGCATGAGCCACCGTACCTGGCCTTGCAATATTTTTAAAAGTTCACTCAGTGTGGGGGAGGGGGATGGAGGGATATATATAAAATAAGATAGGCCTCGCTCGGGAGTTACACAGCCAGAGCTGAGAACCATTGTGCGTCCAGTCATGACCATCTCTCAGCCTGGGCACGTTAATGCCCTGAACAAGGAGTTCTGCAAGGAATATGGAGTAGATTTGGAGAGAACAGCTATAAGGGGGTCTCCCACAGCCATGGCTTCCTCCTCAGGAGGCACTGTTCATGTGGTGGCAAAGGCAGATGGCTGTCCCCGGCTCAGAGCTACACCCCACCAGTTCAGCAACCCCAGTATAAAAAGAGACCTCTTTCTGAAGAGCTCCAGGCAGCCGACGGGGGAGGATTGCTTGAGACTAGGGGTTTGAGACCAGTGTAGGCAACATGGCAAGACCTCAAGTCTAAAAAATAAAAAAATAATCGAAAAATTAGCCAGGCATGGTGGTGTGTACCTGTAGTCCCAGCTAGTCAGGAGGCTGAGGTGGAGGGATCACCTGAACCCAGGAGGTCGAAGCTGCAGTGAGCCAGGATCATGCCAGACGGGGTTACAGAGTGAGACTCTATCTCAAAAAAAAAGAAAAAAAAATTAGCTGGGCATGGTTGTGTGTGCCTGTAGTCCTAGCTACTCCTAGCTACTTGGGAGGCTGAGGTGGGAGGATTGCTTCAGCCCAGGAGTTTGAGGCTATAGTGAGCCATGATCACACCACTCTATTCCAGCCTGGGACAGACTGAGACCTTGTCTCAAAAAAACAATAAACAAACAAGGGGCAAGGCGCAGTGGCTCAAGCCTGTAATCCCAGCACTTTGGGAGGCTGAGGCAGGAGGATTGCTTGAGTCTAGGAGTTTGAGACTGGTTTTTTGTGGCGACCATGTCGCCACAAAAAATTTTTAAAAATAGCCAGGAAGCCGGGCTCAGTGCCTCAGCCTGTAATCCCGCGCCTTTGGGAGGCTGAGGTGAGTGAATTGCTTGAGCCCGCGGGTTCGAGACCCACCTGGGCAGCGAGACCTCATCTCTACAATAAATCAAAATGAGCTAGGTGTGGTAGCACGTGCCTATAGTTCCAGCTACTTGGAAGGCTGAGGCAGAAGGATCGCCGGAGCCCAGCAGGTTGAGGCTGCGGTGGCTGGGAGCGGCCACGGCACTCCAGTCTGGGTGACAGAGTGAGACTCCAACTCAAAAAAAAAAAAAATAGCCAGGCATGATGGCACATGTCTATAGTCCCAGCTACACAGGAACCTAAGGTGGGAGGATTGACTGAGCCTTCAGTGAATAGTGACTGTGTTACTGTACTCCATCCTGGGCTATAGAGTGAGACCCTGACTCAAAACAAATCCAGTGGTTCATACCTATAATCCCAGCACTTTGGGAAGCTGAGGTGAGAGGATTGCCTGAGCTCATGGATTTGAGACCAGACTGGGTGACTTGGTGAGACCTCATCTTTACAATAAGAAAAAAAAAAAAAATAGCCAGTCATGGTGGTACATGCCTGTAGTTCCAGCTACTTGAAAGGCTGAGGTGGAGGGATCACCTGAGCCCAGCAGAACGAGGCTGCGGTGGCCTTGAGCATGGCACTGCACTTCAGCCTGGGTGACAGAGTGAGACTTCAACTCAAAACAAACAAACACAAAAATCACAAAGAGCTCCAGCAAAAATCCTATGGAAGATATTCATTGGCTGAACTTGGGTCACATGCCCATCCCTGATTCAAAGAGTAGGCAAATAGTACAATCATCCTATCGGTTAGGTCAAATCATGGGCCACCTAAGACTTGGGAGAAGTTAGTTCCACCCACGTGGACTACTGAGTAGAAAGAATGTTTCCTTAAAAGAAATCTGAGGTGTGGAACCCAAAATAAGGGAAACAGATGCTAGGCAAGCGAAAGTAGCAGACATCTGAACACACCTTCATCAAGTTGACTTTTGCCTCTACCCTCCAGAGTTTCCTGGTCACAGGCCATGACTCCAGCCAGGTTCTTGTGTTGAGGACAGGGACTTCACCAGGAGAAGTCAACACCTACCAGATCCAGAGGCTTCCTGGAGGTGAGGCACCGTCCCTGAGTTTCCAGGCCAGGACAAATTTATCGCGAAGAACTGGCAGCTCTACTTCCAAAATATCTCCTGAATTTTCCCAGTCCTCTCTGCCTCCAGCACCCACTCAGAGCCACCATCACCTCTTGCCCAGACAATTGCAGGAGCCTCTTGTCTGGTCTCCCTGTTCCTGCCCTTTCTTTCCTTCAATCCATTCTGAACACAGCAGCCAGAGTAGTATTTTCAAATATCAATCAGATGTTATATACCCCTGCCCCAAATCCTATGAAGGATATGCAACATGCTTGGATACAAACTCCTCATTGTGACCAGAAGGAGCTGTGTGATCTAGCCCCCACCCACCTCTCCATCCACTGCCCCTCCTTCACTCTTGCCAGGCCACACTGTTCTCCTCTCTGTTCCTTGAGCACGTAAAGTATGTTCCAGCTTTGGGACCTTGGCTTCTGTTCTCTCTCCATAAATGCTCTTCTTTAGCTGGTTGAGTCTCCATCCTTCAGGCCTCTGCAGAAATATCACCTTCCTCCTTGACCATCATAGTTAAGATAGCCCTCAGTCACTTTCAATCGCTCCATTTCATTCATAGCACTCAGTACAATATACACTTATCTTTATTTGTTCTCATTAATTTTCTCTCTCTCCCCTCACTCTCCCACTAAAAGGTAAAAGGTAAGGAAGGCAGTTAACTTTTATGCCTTTTGACAACTGTATCCCTAGTACCAGGGAATGAATACATGCTTGATAAATATGTGTCTAATAAATAAATCCTAGCCGGGCCTGGTGGCTCAGCCTGTAATCCTGTGCTTTGGGAGGCTGAGGTGAGTGGATTGCCTGAGCCCATGGGTTCGAGACCCGCCTGGGCAACTTGGCGAGACCTCATCTCCACAATAAATCAAAAATTAGCTGGGCATAGTAGCGTGTGCCTGTAGTTCCAGCTACTTGAAAGGCGGAGGTGGAAGGATCGCCGGAGCCCAGCAGGTGGAGGCTGTGGTGGCCGGGGGTGTGCCACTGCACTCCAGTCTGGGCGACAGAGTGAGACTCCAACTCAAAATAAATAAATAAATAAATCCTGTTTGGTGGCATAAATGGGGCACAGGAGTAAAGACACAGGAAGCCAGGCGTGGTGGCTCATGCCTGTAATCCCAGCACTTTGGGAGGTGGAGGCAAGAGGATTGCCTGAGACCAGGGGTTCGAGACCAACCTGGTCGATGTGGGGAGCCCTCAGCCCTACAATAAGTCAAAAAATTAACTGGGCGTGGTAGTGCATGCCTGTATTTCCAACTACTTGGAAGACTGAAATGAAAGGATCCCCTGAGCCCAGAAGGTCGAGGCTGCAGTGGCCATGATCGTGCCATTGCACTCCAGCCTGGGCGACAGAGTAAGACTCCTACTCAAAAAAATCTTTTTAAGTAAATAAATAAAGACACAGGAAATGGTGGGGACTTCAAGGGGTGGAAACATCCCTGTTCTGGAGGTCACTGAGGGAATTGCAGGGAGGCAGAAGAGAGAGTCCCAGGGGAAAGAAGGCTGCTGTTCATCAACTTGTATTTATCATTCTTCCTTGTCCCCTTCCCCCAGGTGTGTCCCTGGAATCCTCCAACGTCTGTATGCCAGACCTACCCCATCTCCTGGCCTTCCTATCAACTAGCAGGTAGAGATTACTCATCAAAAGGGGCTAAGGGAGACCCTTCCCTAAGATACCCCACCCACGCTGTGGCTCCCATTTATCTGTTCTCAGGGATATTTTGCCCAGAACGCTGTTCTTGCTGCCTCCCATTCCAAGGCCTGGAGACAAACACACAGGTGAGACAAGGTTCTCTAAGGAAGGGAGAGGCCAATTTGCCAGCCTCCTTGGTCCAGGGGAATGGGGCTTGAGGGACCAGACTGCTGGGTCTGAGGGAAGATAGAGCTGGGAACTGGAGAGAGCTGGGGGCCTGGATTTTGTAGTCCCTGAAGGAGGAGGACACAGGGGCCTCTGGAGATTGTTGGGGGAGGCGGGAGTTGGGGAACCTGGATTCCTGGATTTGAGTGGGCACAGCTGGTCCCTTGGACCCCTGGAACACCTCACTTCTGGCCCCAGATCCTCTGCAGATCAGTGGCATCCAACGTGACACCGCAGGGAAGGTGCTTTCCGTGGTGAACCAACTTTACCTGGAGACTCATAAAAGCTGGGAGGTGGAGCCGGCCCCCCAAGAAACGGAGCCACAGACTGCCGAGAGACACGATCCAGGTTAGCTGGGTGGGCCCTGGGCCCCTGAGGGATGAGGGAACTGCTACCCTGTTCTGTGGGATCCAACCCTCTCCTCACATCCAGCTCCCGGGAACCGTGCCCCTCACCGGGTCTCCTGGGTGGAAGGCCCACTCAGCCCAGAAGTGCACCACTCTGGGCCGGTTCTGGCCAGCCTGGTGGAGGAGAAGGAGTCGGAGGAGGAGGCTGATGACTACAGAGATGAAGAAGGACCCGAGGATGTGCTCACCCCTCACGTCCGAGCTCTGGTCAGGGCCCGGAGCAGCTACGTGGCCAGGCAGTACCGGAGCCTCCGGGCGCGCCTCACCTCGGATTCCGGGGGTCCCTCCAGACCTGGGGACCCGGCCACGGAGCTGCTTCAGGACGTGCGGCACCTGCTCACTGACCTCCAGGATCACTTGGCAAAGGACCCGGACATCAGGGCTGTCTTTGGGAGCAGAGCGCCTGGGGCACCCCAGAAGGACGAGGATCTTGGTAATGGGAGGCCTGGATGGGCACCCCCACGGGTTCAGGTGTGACATGTGTGCGCTCACACCCAACGTCTTGCGCCCCACCGCGTGCACGCGTGCTTCTACTCACACTCCCTCTCCCACAAACCCCACCCGCTCGCCCTCACGTGTGCGTTGATGGACACCCCCGTCCCGCGTGCAAGTTCACACCCAGGCTCCCCCCCACGTGCTCGTCCCCGTGTCTACACTTGGGGGGTGCCGGTCCGCCGGGGGGGCGGACAGGTGGAGCGCGCGGGCCCGCTGGGTGGCCCTGCCCTCACCCGTCCCCCACCCC